TATGTACGTTTCCACCCACGGCGCCGTCATTTTAATTTTGCTAGTGACAACGGTGTACCAGTTCTAATGCCATGGCGAAAGTTTGAGCAAAACATGCTAACTGTTCTGTCTTTGGCTGCACAGACGAGCACAGAACACTATTTAGAGTCCCAGCCTCACAGGAGACAAGAGAACAGTGGATTTATTGATTTATTTACAGTATATTGCCACAGATCTAAAATAAACATGCAATTTATTTCCCAGCTGTTTACCTTCACAGACATAATGAGATGGTCCTCACTGCAGAACACAAGATCCAGGGGGCGAGGTTGGATCCAGATCCAACTCCTCCCACCTTACATATACCTAAACCTACCCGTCTCCACCCCCTGATCCCTAAACCTACCCATCTCCACCCCTAAACCTACCATCTCCACCCCCTAGATGTGGATCCAACCCAGCCCCCTGGATCTTTGTTCTGCAGTGAGGGGCTACTGGACATAACCAACTATTTTTGTAACTCGTGTGTTTTTAACGTAAATTTGTGTGTGAATGAAAACTTAGTTTAGTACTCACATGCCGTGTGACAGCCACTTTCTGTCTGTGTGCTTTGGATGTGTGCACTCAGAAAACCGTATATCAGAAGTTTGAACTAATATGGTTTAAAACGCATGATTTCAGCGAGATAAACATGATAATCAGAAACAAAACAGATGTTTTTAGCAGATACAAGCCGTAATGGCACAGCTCTAGAGATGGTCGTGTAGAACACAAGATCCAGGGGGCGTGGTTGGATCCAGATCCAACTCCTCTCTCTTACATATACCAAAACCTACCCGTCTCCACCCCCTGATCCATAAACCCACCCATCTCCACCCCTAAACCTACCAATCTCCACCACCTAGATGTGGATCCAACCATGCCCCCTGGATCTTATGTTCTGCAGTGAGTAGTGATGTCCGGTTCGCGAACGAATCGTTCGATTTAACCGGTTCTTAGTGAACCGGTTGAACCAGTTCACCAAATCGGACTGAATCATTTGAAAAGGTTCGCGTCTCCAGTAAGCATTAATCCACAAATTACTAAAGTTATTCACTTTTTTAACATGGCTGACACTCCCTCTGAGTCGAAATAAACCAATATCCCGGAATAATTTATTTACTGCAACAGTACACTGACTGAACTGCTGTGAAGAGAGAACTGAAGATGAACACGAGCAGAGCAGCCGGATAACGAACATACAAGCCCACTGCTGGAGCGGTTCTCGTTCTCGAGTCAAGAACCGGTTGCATAGGTTTTCGGATCACCAGTACACTGAACCGAGAACCGTTTCTTTCGGACACGTCCGATTTGAGAAACGATGAGCTGATGATAATCTGCATGCGTGTAATTTTTCAAGAGGACGAAAAGCATGCTATCCAAGTATTTTGTTAAAAATCAGATAGTGTGAAACTTCCCATCACTAGCAGTGAGGGGCTACTGCAGCTCTATTCTGGAAAAGGGGGCGGGGAGCAGCAGCTCATTTGCATCTAAAGAGACATGCTCTAATTCAGCGTGTTTCTGCTTCCATTCCAAATAGGCATTTTCAAAATTATATAATAAATTATCTGTGGGTTATTTTGAGCCGAAACTTCACAGACACATTCTGGGGACACTAGAAAGTTATATTGCATATTGTAAAAAGGGCCATAATATGTCTCCTTTAAAGCATCATTTACGTGGCCGCGAGAAACAGCGTTATGAAATTAATTCAACAGTAATAATATGTGCAAGTTCAAGAGTCCATGAAATCATCGGTATGGTATTGGTATAGTAAATTGTTCAAAATTAAGGTTTTGTCAGTCCATTACCACTATATACAGCTTGCATGTTACCTTTATAGAAGGCAGTGGCTATTTGCAGTGTAAGTAGAATATTTTAGATGCTGTTTACACTAATTGACAACAGAAAGTATTTTATGGATACACTGTTTACACAAAATGAAAATTCTATTTACACTGTATTTTCTTTGCAGTAAGTGGAAATAGTCGTTAGACATTATTTATAGGCTATAGGCTATATAGTGGAAGACGTTTTTCACCTCAGTTTTGTTACTATAGAGTGTAAATTATTATTTTTCTTAAAAATATTAAATGGATTGGGACAATAAAGCCCTGGCCCTATACCCTTGACCTCGATATACTTCATTATTAAACACTCGTTATGCACATTATTTCCACTTTTCGAATATGTTCTACATTGAAAGTAAATGCCTTTCTGATCTGATATGTGATGGGAAAAAGGAGAAGCGTGAGTCCGGCAAAAGGCAAACTTTAACTCTAGTCGAAATTTTACTTTTATGTGCCTTACTCGCTATGCCACTGCTCTGTTACCCGGTACATGTCATTTTTAATTTTGTGTGGCCACACCAGACACTGGTGTGGCCACCAGTAATTAGCGTTTATTAGTGTAAATAGCCTATATGTCAAAAAGGTTAGCTGCACTTAATGTAAACACTCCTTTATTGAAATGGCACCATGTTATGGGGTGATATATATAATGTACTGTCCCATAGAAACTTTAAGGGTTTGTGAAAATATACTGGATATCAAAATTTGGATTTCGTTAGATCATTAGACCCTGCATTAAATCCCTCGGCTCATTCAACTTAACAGTGCTTAAAAAGAAGCAGCGCCATATTTATTAAACAGGAGGTCACACATTAAAAAGTAGCAAATATATATGTTTGTGTGCATAGGACCAATTCCGTTGTGTTGAGCTAATTTCATTGTGTTGTGGCATGTTTCCGTTGTGTTGTGGCTTGTTTCCGTTGTGTTGTGCTAATTTTGTTGTGTTGTGCCTTGTTTCCGTTGTGTTGTGACTTTTTTCCATTGTGTTGTGCTAATTCATTGTGTTGTGGCTTGTTTCCGTTGTGCTGCGGCGATTTCGTTGTGTTGTGGAGATTTCGCTGTGTTGTGCACTACTGGGCCACCATAGGTTACCACTTTTTACAGAGTACTAGGAGAGGATAAAACACATGTTTTTAGAATAAATAAATAAATAAATAAATAAATACATTTGGCCAGCACCCCTGGTATCACCTCTCTAAGGATCAACATGCTCACTAATTATTAACTGAAAGTGTGATGTTGTAATCCTACTGTAATTCTTACAATAAAATAGGGGGAATGTTTTTTTTATTTTTAAATCTACTGGTTTTATTATTATTGTTGTTATTATTATGAATATTATTTTCTCAAAAATATGAATATAGCTAAATAATTCATTTATACCAAACATTTTTTTATGAGTTTAATCAGGCAGAAATAGATTTTTAAGGTAACAACTGCAGGTTACCACTTTTTACAGAGTACTAAGAGAGGATAAAACACATGTTTTTTAAATAAATAAATAAATTAATACATAAAAAAACAGAGCACATATTGTGCTGTAGTATATTGAAAGGGCTGTGTCTCTATGAGGGTGGCAGCTCAGTCCAGCACAGCTAATCTAAAGCAGACACAGCATACATCAATACCTTCTCATTTCACCTCTGCTGCCAAACCCTCTATATAGACATTTATAGATTCCAGAGATGCAGATTCCATTCGGGGAGTCCATTTGAACAGTAATAAAGGAAATTTTGTTTACATCTAAATGACGTTTTCTGTGAATATTTGTGCAAGTATTTTTGTTTGGGTGTCGAGGGGATACAAAGCGTGTGCAGTTCCTGAAACAGAGGTGGCTCTCATACAGTGGCCTGTTTTCAAAGTCCTACCACAGGCCACACACACATACTGCTTTCAAATAACAGACAGATGTACAAATAAATTCACCTACAAGGGCGAGTGCACACACACAGAAACACACTTAATGTAGTTTCATTACCTTTTTTGTAGGGGTTTCTGGGGGCCATTAAAACAACTATTTTGAAATATCAGTTTCAATATCAGTATCTATATCAGTTCAATTCAGTACTGATATCATTTCAATATCAGTATTCAATATCAGTTTCAAGATTATTCTAATGGTACACTTCTAATAAGGCTTACCAGGTAAGCTGTACCAGGTAAGCTTCGAAAGTTTGCAACCTCGCAAACCAATATCTACTAACTTGTAATAGTATATACCAGGGGTGTCAAACTCAATTCATGGAGGGCCGGAGCCCTGCATAGTTTAGATTCAACCCTAATTAAACACACCTGATCCAACTAATCAAGTCTTTCAGGCTTATTTGAAAGCTACAGGGTATGGGTGTTGAAGCAGTGTGGGAACAAACCTCTGCAGGCCTCCGGCCCTCCAGGAATTGAGTTTGACACCCCTGGTCTATACTGTCAAAGCCAGGGGTCTCCAACCCTGCTCCTGGAGAGCTACCGTCCTGCAGATTTCAGCTCCAACCTCAATCAAACACACCTGAACCAGCTAATTAAGGTGTTCAGGGTTACTTGATAATTATAGGCAGGTGTGTTGGAGCTGGAACTGAAGTCTGCAGGATGGTAGCTCTCCAGGAACAGGGTTGGAAATCTGGTCAAAGCTATATTATGTGCAGTGTGGCCTATTGTGTCTCCAGCATTTAATTACACACATACATATTCAAATGCTTAGCACTCAGTGTATTTGTGAAAACGTTAGCAATATTTCTTCTTGGCATCAATTTCCACTGTAATTAAGACAGCGGTACATTTATGACACTGTAGGAGGGTTATAAATTAATAAAAATACACTTGAAGGGAAAGTTCACCCAAAAATGAAAATTCTGTCATTAATTACTCCCCCTCATATCATTCCAAACCCATAAGACCTTCGGAACACAAATTAAGATAATTTTGATGAAATTAATTTTGAAAAAACACTCCTACACTCCTACAGTGTCATAAATGTACCGCTGTCTTAATTACAGTGGAAATTGATGCCAAGAAGAAATATTGCTAACGTTTTCACAAATACATTGAGTGCTAAGCATTTGAATATGTATGTGTGTAATTACATTTTTAGGTGAACTATCCCTTTAACTACACATAGTTTCTTTAAGGTACACTTACGTTCGAATGCTGGATACATTGGTACAGTGTTGGTAATGAGAACAGCATCATATCTCACTTCCTGAGAGGAGGACAACTCTAAATTAGTTCAAGTTCAAGTTCAAGTCTGCTTTATTGTCAATTCTTCCACATGTACAGGACATACACACAGAGAATTGAAATTGCGTTACTCTCAGACCCTTGGGTGCATACAGATAACATAAATACAGATTAAATACAAAATACAACTATACAAATATACAAATAAGGTCAAATGTAAAAATATATATATAAAGCACAAGGCATATGGCAGATGCACAAGGCATATGGCAAATGCCTTGCAAATTAGAAGATCATGGAAGAAAAAATTTTACAAACATCAAATCATAACGCATTGTAGTCAAAATTCTTGCAATTTGTTGACAATTTTGTGTACTAAAAACAATGCTCTGTTTTTTCTGTTTATTTTTCATTTTAAAGGTGACCTATTATGCCTCTTCCAACAAGGTAATATAAGTCCCAGGTTCCCTAGAATGTATCTGTGAAGTTTCAAATCAAAATTGTAATTTATTATACCATGCCGTAAATGTCACTTTTTGGATGTAAGCCAAAGGATATTTTTGTGTGTGTATCTTTAAATGCAAATGAGCTGCATCTCCCCCCCCCCTCCAGATCTGGGCTGTGCCTCTCATCTCGGCAGAATTAATAACTCTTGAGAATGCACCAGGGTGTTTCTGAATGTTTAGTTGACAAATTAATGTAATTGTGTAGAGTTTTTTCAGCTGTTTTGCAACAATGGATGAGCAACACACTAAATACTGTAATGATGTTTGATATGCACTATAAAGATACATGATACATATAGTAGAACTTTAGTGTCACCACTAGCTGCTCTAGCGAGGAGATAAACATGACAGACTGTGTACAGTTCACTCATGGGAGGATCAAATCTAACAGGGAACATTCCATCACCAGCCGTGACTGGTATCTTTCCCAGTGTGATTTGGGAAAACACATTTGGTTGCAGACATGAGCGACTCATTTGGAGACACTGCTTTTAAACTATTGGGGGAAAAAAAAGGAGTGGGTGGGATTTTACTATATAGGATGGTTGTATACACATACTGCAGACACAAAATTCTGTTCAAAAATAAGTGAATTTTGCATAATAGGTCCCATTTAAGAGTAACATTTAATTTGATCCTTTAATACAGTTTCACTTGGGTCTAATGAACTTCATCAGGATAGAAACAGATTAAGCCCAGTGCTATAAAAGCTCTGTCTGGTTGGTTCCTGGAACTGGCCTAGCTTCGGTACATGAAACCGCTTATGCTAGGCTGCACAATATAAAGAGAATAGGAAACCTCACGAGGTGGATAGAGGAAGCTGTAGGAAATCTGTTTGTCTGCACGGTAGTTTGAGCAGGACTGACTGTAGACTGTAGGAACTCTAATATCAGGCCGAACACAGTTGCTCAGAGCCTCAGTCAGAGGAGTGAAATCTACCTGCAACAGAACATCCACACAGACAGGTTTAAACTCTAATACAACAGTCAACTATAAACAGACTAACATAATTTTGTAAACTGTACCTGCTTAGATACAGTATAAGACGTCCAGAGAGGCATGGACAAAGCTTCACTGTAACCACTAATGTAATCACTATGATGAAGGATGTAGTATTTGGTGAGGAGCATGACTGCTGGCCAACCGTAAGGAAGATTTTTGTTGTCTAAAAAGGAAAAAAAAATGCATTAGTAATCTTTTAATCGGAAAAACAGAGAGACAAAATATTACTACATCCATTAAAATTCCATGCAACCAAAATGTTTATAAATTTCATAAAATGAAAATTCGGCAATGCCCTGATCTTTTCCACACAATGAAAGTGAATATTGGGGCTCCTTT